TACATTACTATATTAAATAGGAAAGATAAGATCTGCCCACTGGCATGGCTCAGTGGTTGAGCCTCGACCTATGAACCAGGAGGTCATAGTTCAATTCCCAGGCAAGGTACATGCCCGGTTTATGGGCTCAATCCCCAGTGTGGGCATTCACGAGGCAGCCAATTCAGTGATTCTCTCTCATCATTGATGTTTCTATCTCTCCCTCTCCCTTCCTCTCTGAGAGCAATAAAAATATATTTTTTTAAAAAAGGAAAGATAGGATCCATGGACCACTTCTGGGAGACAGCTCCATGCCCCAATTAATGTCTTCCTTAACTCCTTCAGAGACCTTCTAATAAAGGCCGAGGACACTCACTGACTAGGGGAAAGAACTGTATAAGAAAAGGTCTCGAGGGAAACCAAGATGGCGGCATAGGTAATCACCTATACTTGCTGCCTCTCACAACCACATCAAAATTACAACTAAATGGCAGAACAACTACCACCCAGAACTGCGGGAAAGCTGGCTGAGTGGAAATTCTACAACTAGAGAGGTGAAGAAAGCACACTGAGACTGGTAAGAGGTACGGAGGCACGGAAAGTGCTGGCGCCTGGATGTGCTGTTCTTTAAACCGGGAGGGAGATACAAGCTCCCGCTTGCTCTGAACTCCAGTTCTGGGTGAGACTCTGGGGGACCCAGACACATACGGGGAGAAACTGGACTGTCTGGCATCGGGACAGGAACATGAAGGCGGCTTACTCTTAGAGGTGCTCCCAGCGAGCATTGTTCCTGCAAGGGTGCACAGGACGCAGAGAACCAGAGACTTCTCAAGTTCAGGGCAGCCATTGCTGTTTTCTCTGCCCTGGTGATTCCCAGAGACCCTGCCCCACCCAATGTACAACCCCACCCAAGCTGTGCACATCAGCTTTTGCATATGGATGGCCTGTCCTTTTGCCTAAAACAAAAGGCAGCTGGGTCAGAGAGCCCCAGAGGTTCCAAAAGAAGGCCCACTACCTGGCGGCAGCAGCGGCCTTGCTTCACAGCTGGGCCTCGTCTGGGCACTTCCAAACCCCATACAAAGAGGAGGAATCTGCAGATCTCTCTGTAGCTCCTGCAGGGTGGCCCCAGACAGTGGCTGACCTTGCACCTCCTTGGAGATCCAAGAGCCAGTGTACCCAGTAGTCAGAGTGAGTCCATAACGGATTACAACTCTTCACATCCATAAGAGACACACTCAAGGGGCAGACTCAGTGAGCACCAAAGCCCCACTGAAGCAAGTCCTGCCCCATAAGGATATCTCCTGCACAACAGATCTTCCAGTGTAGACACAGCTGGTCCTCACAGCCAATTGGCCTGGAGGTCAAATCCTCCCAGTGATACCAACAGCAATCAAGGGTTAACTATAATAAGACTGTGCACACAGCCCACAAAGGGGTGCACCAAGAGTGTCCACCTCAGGTGACTGGGGAGGCTGAGCCACTGGGCCCTATGACACCTACCACACAAGGCCACTCTATCAACTCAAGGAGACTTAGCAGCTACCCAGTACATAGAAACAAACACAGGGAAGCAGCCAAAATGCGGAGACAAAGAAACATGTCACAAATGAAAGAAATGGATGAAAGAAAAATACTGGATATAGAGTTCAAAACCACAGTTATAAGGTTACTCAAGAATCTTCTAGAAACCTCTGAGAAATTTAGAGACCCTCAAGGATATGAAAAAGGACCAATCAGAAATTAAGCATACACTGACTGAAATAAAGAATAATATACAGAGATCCAACAGCAGACTAGAGGATCGCAAGAATCAAGTCAAATATTTGAAATACGAAGAAGCAAAAAACACCCAACCGGAAAAGCAAAAAGAAAAAAGAATCCAAAAATATGAAGATAGTGTAAGGAGCCTCTGGGACAACTTCAAGCATACCAACATCCGAATTATAGGGGTGCCAGAAGAAGAGAGAGAGCAGGATATTAAAAACCTATTTGAAGAAATAATGACAGAAAACTTCCCCTACCTGGTGAAAGAAATAGACTTACAAGTCCAGGAAGTGCAGAGAACCCCAAACAAGAGGAATCTAAAGAGGACCACACTAAGACACATCATAATTAAAATGCCAAGGGCAAAAGAGAAAGAGAGAATCTTAAAAGCAGCAAGAGAAAAACAGTTAGTTACCTACAAGGGGGTACCCATACGACTGTCATCTGATTTCTCAACAGAAACTATGCAGGCCAGAAAGTGATGAAATATACAAAGTGATGAAATATACAAAGTGGTGAAATATACAAAGTGATGAATAGCAAGAACCTACATCCAAGATTACTCTACCCAGCAAAGCTATCATTCAGAATTAAAGGTCAGATAAAGAACTTCACAGACAAGAAAAAAACTAAAGGAGTTCATCACCACCAAACCAGTATAATTTGAAATGCTGAAGGGTATTCTCTAAGAAGAGGAAGAAAAAGGTAAAGATAAAAATTATGAACAACAAAGTGACAACAAATACATATCTATCAACAAGTGAATCTAAAAATCAAGTGAATAAAAAATCTGAAGAACAGAATAAACTGGTAAATATAATAGAATCAGGGGCATAGAAAGGGAGTAGACTGACAGTTCTTGGGGGGGTGTGGAGGAAGAGATTGGACAAAAATCTTACACCTATGGATGAGGACAATGGGGGGCGGTAAGGGCATGGGGTGGGGTGGGAACCGGGTGGAGGGGAGCTATGGGGGAAAAAAAGAGGAACAACCGTAATAATCTGAACAATAAAGATTTATTAAAAAATAAATAAAAAATAAAAAAAGAACTTAAGTGGAAAAAAAAAAAAAAGAAAAGGTCTCACCAGAATCTGTTTGCTGCAATTGCTCCCTAGTTGATTCTTTTTAGCTGTTACCTCAAATCTATAGCCAGGCTCTCTGTTCTTTGCCAACATGAGAGCCAAAGGGAAAGCTCGGGGAAGGAGAGCTTTCATTAGAGTTGGGGAAAACTCTCCTGTTTTCTTTCCCCAGCTCCTCCATTTGGCGGCTTTCTTACTTGCCTCATCCTTTGGCCACATACTTCCTTCACCTCTCGAGATCTCCTGGCTGTTTCTAAACAGGACTTCCACTTTGCCTGTTGGGTACTCTTGATTTTTTTGAACTAAGCGTCTATATAAATTTGTAAAGTAACCTCCAATATTCTCTTACCCAAGAATCCCTTTTATTATTTTCCATACAGTTTCCTTGTTTTAAAGATTATGTATATTAACCTACTTGCAGGTCATATTTTTATTCCCAAATTTAAAAAATCAAAGATATAAATGACTAAATATTAGACAGACTAGGGAAGGGTTGCCTCTACCCAAGGATGATGAATGCCTGTGGCACTATCTTTACATGGCGGAAAGGGAGTCAGGTGCAGTGTAACCCAGGGTTCTTCTGAGTCTGGGACTTGACTATGTCTATAGATATCCAAAGTTCTTTGTGCACCTTTTCTGACACTTGACCGCTGTCTGATATTATTCACTTACTTGATACAGCAGGTCCTAGAATAATGTCACTTTGTTCCACATTATTTCATTATAATGTTGATAAGAAGAAGAAAAAATTGATTCCCAGCCAGGACTGTCTGTGTGGAAGTTGCACGTTCTCCCATGTCTGTATGGGGTTTTTTCAGGGCCTCAGTCTCCTCCAACGTTCTAAACATGTGCAGGTTAAGTGAACTGGCGTTTCTAAAATGCCCCCATCTAAGTGAGTGTGAGTGTGAATGGCCCTGTGAAGGAAGGATGTCCTGTCTGGGGTGGGTCCTGCCTGGAGCCCTGAGTTGCCCAGATAGACTCTGGCCCTGCACCCTTGAACTGGAATGAACAAATACAATAATCACCTTACTTGTTTTCATTAATCATCCTTAAATATGTGTATAGCTCACATTTATTTCTGTGTTCAGTACTAGAAGTGTTTGGGTCTTTATTTAGAAGTTTGGTGATTTTTTTTTGTGACCAGAAATATGCTGTAGGAACTCAACTCTTCTTTATATCAATGGTAATATTGGTTTCATTGCACATGTTTTACTAAAGTCACAGTTTCTAAGAGCTTATAGACCTTAACCTTGGACTTATTGTATATATTTACCATGCAAATATGGGCCACAGAGGTTTTAAGCTGAGTACAGAACCTTAATTTACAAAGAAATTGAGGAGGCAGATGTATAAGGAGGCCCAAGGTGAGGAAAGGTCATTTCTCTTTAACTCAATTCTAATTTTAATAAATCATCTCTTAGGATGTATTTACATAGTGAATATTTCAAGCAAGTTTTATTTTATTTATTTTTTTACCCCGGACACCAAAATCATCTTTACAATAAAGCACATACGCTAAAAACTGTAAAGAAAGAGCCATGCAATCCAAATAGCGTAAAAACTGATTTGCATTAAAACATTTCCTTTAGCCCTAGCCCATGTGGCTCAGTGGTAGAGCATCGGCCCACACACCGAAGGGTCTCGGGTTCAATTCCCAGTCAGGGGTGCTACCTGAGTTGCAGGTTCATTTTCCAGCCTGGCAACCAATCGATGTGTCTCTCTCACATTGATGTTTCTCTCTCTCCCTCCTCCTCCTTTCCACTCTCTAAAAATCAATGGGAAAAATATCCTTGGGAGAGGATTAACAAAAACAAACAAAAATTTTCCTTCAGGAATTAAATTTTGGGCACATTTTACTAAAAAAATAAAAAGGAATTACACCAAAATATGACCCTAAAATCACTGATATGGTGTCAAGCATGAGAACTCAATAAATGTAACCAAGAATAAACTGTATTCAAGTCCAAATTGTGCCATTAACTTTTTTCATATAATAAGCATCCTTTATACAATACTTGCAAAACATAATCTTTTCCATTGACTTTTTGTGCAAAACTTCTACTGAAATTAGGATATCAAAAAAGCCAAATAAAATTTTGTCTTTACAGTCATTTCATCTGAGTGAGAAAAGTTACGTTTTTGTACTTATTTGGATCCATAAATGTCTATTTTACTTACCATTCGGAAGTGTGGGGAGAAAATAACTTATTCTCACTAATGGGAGTCGTTAACACTTGATGGTTTACAACATTTAAATACTTCTCAATGTGAATCTGTTACAGAAAAGTTAAAAGTTTAGGTCATTATAGTGGACTTAAGATACTCAGTTAATTTACTTCATTTCATTAGGTTAACACTCTGAATTGTGTAATTAAGCCAAAAGACACAACATGCTATGTGTTTATTACATGCCTAAGGTATAATTAGGCACCTCAAGGCCAAATTACTTTATCCCAAAAAGCATTGAGACTCAAAGCTTGAGTGACCTGTAGCACTCTTCACAAGTGAAACTATGCACAATAGTCAGTAAATTGCTTAGCCAGGTAAATTTACTAGGCAATGCAGATATGGAGTAATGTCTTTTTCTTTCAGGATGTCAAGCAAGCACCGAGGAAAGAATTTGGCCTTCAGGTAACATTGAAAATGGCCAACCCAAAGACTCCAGCTGAGTCCAGCCCTCTCACCATCAGGCAAATAGGACAATGTGTGCTAGTCTGCTGAGGCTACACAATCAAGCACACGTCTCACAGTCTCAGGAGCTGACAGATGAAGCTCAGAATATGGTAGCATGAAAGTCTGAGGCAAGAGCAAGGGTACTGACAGAGAGCTGGAAGATGGAGATGGTCCTTGTTTGGATCCATGGACTCCTACATCCTGGCTGTACTTTATTTTGTTATTAGTTTTAAAGAAATTGAAATATAACATTATATTCATTTCCGGTGTATAACATAATGATTCGGTAATTGTATGTATTGTGAAATGATCCCCACAATAAGTCTGGTTACAAATATTTTTCTTTTAAGATCTTTTAAGATGTAATCTCTTAGTAAGTTTCAAATATACAGTACAGTATTTTTAACGATAGTCATCCTGTTGAACATTAAATCCCCAGAACTTATTTTTTTTTTATAACTGGAATTTGACCACCTTTCCCCATTTCACCCACCCTCACTTCCAGCAACCAGCAATCTGTTTTCTGTATCAGATGTTCTTGGGGGGTGGGGTGAAGTGTTAGATTCCACATATAAGTAAGATTATACAGTATTAGGGTTTTTTTTTGGGGGGGGGGGGTCCGGCTTATTTCACTTAGCATAATGTCCTTGATGTCTATCCAAGTTGTCTCAAATGGAAAGATTTCTTTTTTTATGACTGAGTAATATTCCATTGTGTGTATGTATATATATATTTCTCTTTATCGATGAACAGTTAGGTTGTTATCATGCCTTGGCTATTGTAAATAATACTGCAGTGACTGTGGGGATGCAGATAGTTTTTAAGTTAGTGTTTTTGTTTCCCTTGGCGATACATCCTTGTTTGGCAATTGCATATTATTCTTGTCTGAAGATTGGATTCTCCCCGCCCTAAGATCTGTCTAAAACAGTGATTTTCAGCTTGTGCGCGGCAATAACTTTTAAAACATGCACTATCTGACGATTTCGTCAGGGGCACTGACCTCTTTTCCCTGAGCTTGTCAAATTAAACAATGACAACAGTCAACACAACAATAGTCATTCTGTGTGAATGAATAAAAATGGTACCTTTTTGTGTCAGATCAGCAAAAAATATATTTTTGGCGTGCTGCAGAAATTTAGTAATTAGTTTATGTGTGGGTTATGAGATGAAAAAGATTGAAGATCACTGGTCTATAATTATGAAGTCCTGATTTACTTGATTTCTGTTTCAAAATTGGTATATTTCTTTGGTTTTACCCATTAGGTTACTATATTTTAAAAAATGACTATTCTCAAAATACTTAAGCTATTAGGGAAAGTCAACTCTTATTTCTCGAGTGAATCTGATAGAAACTCTCTATGATGTCTTGGCATGACTCCCTTTTGGTCAGACATATTGTTGGACTAATAGTGGTCATTTTTAAAATTCTTTTTCTCAAACCACATTTGAGAAGTTATCATTGCATAATCTGACATTATCAATACCTTAAATTCTTTGTGGGATGTGACAGGATGTGAGTCAATCAGTTAATCATCATTACCATTTAAAAAAGGGATGAGAACAAGCTGATGATCACCCTAAATCCCTCTCTGTTACAGGATCTCACAGAGTCCTGTGAGAACCACAATTCTTTTCTTGAGGCATCTTTGTTTCCTCTGGTATTTTATTTAATATTGAAAGTTCTACTTACTCTTAACCCCATTTCAGTCCTTTTGATTGCTGTTTGAAGATTCTGAATGTCTAGAGTCTCTCCTTCTTCAGATGGGAAGTCGGCTAATTTCTCCTGTAATTGCTGAAGGTCATCATGGACCTGTAGGTGTAAAAACATGAAATAGTAAAAGTATACATACATAGTCCATCTAGAACATTTATTTTAAAAGTTTGCAATTTATGCTGTATTTGCTAGAGACAGTAAGGTTGATTTTACAGTGTTCATTGAAAAGGACTGTCTTATGGTTTTAAGACAGTTTTTGTTAGAATGTTCCATTATTGTCTTAGATTTTGAAAAACTAAGTTTTTAGACAATTGTCTGTTTTTCCTTTCCCCCTTAGAAACAAATCCAAACTAAATCTGCAACACAAATGGTTTCTGCTTTTTCAGATGGTAAAGCAGTTGAATCAGGGACCATAAGAAGTTTATGCCAAACTCCGATTTCTACTAATGGTTAAAAGGTAAGAAAAGAGAACATTTTGTGGCTCAGTTGGTTGAGCATCATCTTGTGCACTGAAAGGTTGCTGGTTTGATTCCCAGTCAGGGAACATACCTGGGTTGTGGGTTTGATCCCCAGTTCTAGGGAGAGCTGTGTCTTTCAAAAGGGAATTGCAAATATGTTGACAGGGCCTGTTGGCTTTCCTGTCTAGCTGGGTCTTCCCACTAACTGTTCTGAAGAACCAGTTCTGTAGGACAGGTGTGTGGCCTTGACTTTGTTTTATGTGGTCAGAAATGAAAATGATCCATGAGGCAAAAGCTACATCTGTTACCACTTTAACATTTTCCTTCAATTTTTATTTTCCTTTGAAATGATGACTCTCTCTCCAATGTCACGCACCCTCAGAATAAAATGGGCATTGTGAAATTAGCACCAGATTCTCTGAATTCATATTAGAAATCAAACTTCAACAGATAAATACAGATGGCACCAATTATTATATGGGCTGCTGCCACAAGAAAAACATTTTGCTATGCAAATGTATGAACCCAACACCTGTCTCACCGATAGTCCCACCAATAACAATCTGCAGACTGGGTTGCTAAAGGCATTTTGAAACAGTTACCTTTCTCTGTTCATCTACCTGGACTTACTCATTGATCCAGCCTATGTCATCGATTACTCTTAGAATATTCCCACTGAGCCAAGTATTCAAAAGATCAGAATTTGCATCTTTTCACTGACGGGCATCACAGTCTGGCAGGCACATCTGGTCACTCGGTACTCTGCACAAACTGTCATGTACAGCCTTCAGGGCTCACAGATTGAATACAAACACACCTACTGCTTGCTCGGAGGCTCTGAGGATGAAGATGTACTTCTTGCACTTGTTTCGTCCAAATTACTGCTGCAAGCTGATCTGCCACCTATTGCCTAAAGGCATTTGGACAGTACCAAGAAGTGGTTCAAGGGCAAACCTCACTTTCAGACCCCTCTGAGCGCCTGAATTTCCTTCTTGTAGCTCTCATATGTGTGCCTTCATGTGTCATTCTGTAATTGTGCCTGGCAAGTGCTGGAGAGAGTGAAAACTGTCCTGGATTACTAGCAGGAAACCAAAGGTCTGACTTCTTCATCTGCCTTGTGTGGACAATACTCTCTTCATAGAGTTGTGAGATATGTATAGGTCTGGTACATCGTAAGAATCAGTAAAAGGCAGAGGAACGTAATTCCTTGTTCTCTCACTGGTCACATGATGTCCATGTACATCACCCACATATTCTCTAGCTTCTTCACCAAGAAAAAAAAAAGAATGCTTCTACTTCACGGAATTGCTGAGTGAAAAGGAAGCAATGTGTGTGACAATGAGTGAATATGGGCTTTGGAAACAGATAGATGTAAACTAGAATCTACTTCTTCCTTTACTAAACCGAGCTTGGCAAATTCACCTAGCGTTTTAGAGCCTTAGTGTTCTCATCTATAAAACGGAGGTAAATAACTACCTCTCAGAATAGTGTAAGGATAAAATGAGTTCAAGTGTGTCAAGTGCTTTGTGTAGGGCCAGCCGCATAGGAGAGACTGAACAAATGCTCCTTCTCTCCTGTGAAACCTAGTGAAACTCCTGGCACGTAACTGGCACCTAGTAAATGTTCACTGAGTTGAACTGCTCTCTTAATCTTCCTCAAGAGCTTTCACTTTACCTTTCTTGCCGGATAGTTTCTTCTCCCCGCTTAATGACCGCACATCTGTATGATTGCTTTAGAGACAAGTACTGTAGAAAATCTTTCACCACACTCGGGTTCAAATCGATCCAATCTACCTTATTGAAATTTTACATGTCACCCATCATCTCTGTGATCATCAGACCCATTGCTTTCCATACATTTTATTTATTTATTTATTTATTTATTTATTTATTTATTTTAATACATATTTTTATCATTGATAGTATTATAGATAGCTCCCATCTTCCCATACATTTTGAAATCTACTTGGAGGAAATTATTATTTTGACAGTTTGGGGATAGGGCTGCTTAATAAGAAGGCCTTGAAATATTTAATGCAGTAACGATTTGCTCTAGAATTTAAAAGAGCCGTGCAACCAGACTCCACATTGTCAAAAGCAATCTATCTCATAATTACCATTTTACTCATCTCTGCTAAAGATAGAGTTAGGCGGAGTCATTCTCATCACATTTATGTTGTACGCTTCTGACAAACCAGACAGCAGGGTTGGTAAGAAAGACAGAGATAATATCAAGGTCAATTAACTCCAATGTTTCCAAGGTTGGTGTTAACACACAACTGTTGCATTTTGGAGATACGATTTCCAGTCTGGCCGGTGTGGCTCAGTGGTTGAGCATTGACCTATTAACCAGAAGATCATGGTTCGATTCCCAGTTAGGGCACATGCCTGGTTTGTGGGCTTGATCCCCAATAGGGGGCGTGCAGGAGGCAGCCCAACAATGATTCTCTCTCATCATTGATGTTTCTCTCTCTCTCTCCCTCTCCCTTCCTCTCTGAAATCAATAAAAATGTTAAAAAAGAAAAGAAAAAGAAATACAATTTCCAAAACTAACTGAAAAGATAATTTAGATAGCAAGACTAGGTAATCCTTGTTGCGCAAACATATGTTTAATATTTGGGCCAAGCAAGCATTTATAAAGGTATTTAAAAGGTACCACATTATTGTTAATAAAGCATACAAAGAGAGCTTCTAAGAGTTACTAATGAAAGCAAGCATCTAGGAAGCATCCCGGAGTTACCACCACACTTTTTCAAGATGGTTTCACAAACGTGCCATCACCTGCTTAAGATTTATCGCTTGGGCAAGTTGCTTTATCTCATTGTACATTAGTTTCTTCTACTGTAGATTGGGATAAAAATAACACCTTCCTAACAGAGTTGTTGTTAGGACTTGAGAAAATCTAAAGCTCTCAGTACAGTGTCTGACTCTCAATAAATGTTGGCTACCATTTTAATTGTAATGATGATTATTATGGCTGTGATAAAAACCTCACTATTCTGATTAGTTGAGGAAAGATTCAGCTAAAATTGTAAACAGCCTGCATTTAGACTCAAAAGTGAAAAAATTTAGTTAAAATAAGCATTTTGAAGTGAAAGAATTTAGTTAACAAAATGCTTTCTAGAACTCTATGTGGAAATAATAATCATATTTTCTGAACTGAAAAGGAAAACATGGACATTAATATATGATCTGACAATGGGATGGAATATTCACGATCAGGACTGTTCTGGAAAATCTAAACATCTAAGCACATGCTCACATAATAAGTCGCATGGAGTTTATAATTAGGGCACTGATTAATTGTATTTAAAGATCTTCTCTTAAGTATTTTAGATATTTTATCAAAATATTACTTTTACTATAAATTTGTGCCAATTATTATGTTTTCTAAATAATAATCAATGTTAGTCCAGCTCCATTCTGCCCGGAACCAATTCCAGCATGTCAGCAAGGGCTGAATCATCTGGAGTGGCAATGACATTTCCCCAAACCTGAAAAGAATGCATTAAATTGATTGCTTGCTGCCAGACAGCTCAGGGCATCTTAATCTACATATTATTGCCTCCTACTGGCCAAACACCTGAACAGCCTAAGGCAGTTTCTCCAAAACCTGATAATCTGACAATGGACTCTGTAAATGAAACCTGACCCTTTGATGTGTATATCTCTGCCTCGCCTCCGGACAATTTGTGTTAATAAAAAGCATGGGTTCCTGAGATGAGGAGATCTTCCTTCCTTAAGCTAGGCTCCTCTGACTTCCTATAATGCCTTTCAAAATTATGCTTCGTCTCTGGACTCTTTATTAAGTTACACACAGCCCTTCTCCAGATTGCTGAACCCTTCTAGATGCTGGAACAAGAACCCCGGCACATTCACTTTTGAACAGAACATAAATTATTGGAGACTGAATTAATGAGTAGATTTGTATCCAGTCATCCATGATTGATGGACCATTCTGTATTAGGTAAAATGGGATACCCCAAAAATCAGTTGTAACAGGGAAATAAGGCATACCTTGTTTGCCAAATTGCAATACCCTTAAAGTTCTCATTAAGAATGAAGTATTCCTAGTTAAAAAGACAAGCTAAAATTAACTTTTCTTCTTTTTCCAGCAATTTAGAGAACAAGCTAATCTTAAAAAGACACAGAAATGTACGCAAAGCTAAGTAATATTAAATGGTAAGAGACCTAATCATAACTGCCATCTATTGAGTGTTGTACTTTATGTTATTCTATATTTTAATCCTCCAAGGCTCCTAAGAGGGAGTTCATATTATCTTCATTGTATATTTAAGGGAATGTGAGGTTTAAAGTGGTTAAGTAACCTGTGCAAGGTAACACAGCTGGCTAACTGGTGGAACTGTTCAAATCCAGGCAGTCTGAATCCAGACTAAATAATCCTCCTATATAATAAAAGACTAATATGCAAATCGACCAAATGGCAGAATGATCGGTCGCTATGATGCACATTGACCACCAGCGGGCAGATGCTCAGTGCAGGAGCTGCCCCCTGGTGGTCAGTGCACTCCCATAGGGGGAGTGCCGCTCAGTCAGAAGCCGGGCTCATGGCTGGCGAGCGCAGCAGTGGAGCCTCTCCTGCCTCTGCTGCAGGCGGGCAGTAAGGAGTGAGGGGTCCCAGAGAGGGATGTCTGACTGCTGGCTTAGGCCTGATCCCCGAGGGGTCCCAGACTGCGAGAGGGCGCAGACCAGGCTGAGGGATCCTCTCCCCCAGTGCACGAATGTTGTGTACTGGGCCTCTAGTCTATAATAATAAAAGGCTAATATGCTAATTAGACTGGATGTTATTCCAGACGTCCTTCTGGACAAAGCTGGGGCTGGAGCAAAGCCCGGGTCCCGGGTGCCAGTGCCAGCAGCAGGGGGAAGGAAGGCCTACTCTTGTACAAATTTCGTGCATCAGGCCTCTAGTATACTAGTATAATAAAAGCCTAATATGCTAAGTGTCCAGTCGTCCAGTCATCGTTCAACCAATCAAAGTATAATATGCTAATGACATGCTAAGACTGTTCAACCGCTCACTGTGACATGCACTGGCCACCAGGAGGCAGATGCTCCGACTGATAGGTTAGCTTGCTGCTGGGGTCAGGCCAATCGGGACTGAGCAAAACTGGCTAAATATGCCCTGGAGCCCTCCCGCGGTCTCTCCCCAGTTGGCCAACCTCTGCGTCCCTCCCTGGCCCTGATCGTGCACTGGTGGGGTCCTTCGGCCTGGCCTGCACTGTCTTGCAATCCGGGAACCCCTGAGGGGGATGTGGAGAGCTGGTTTTAGCCTGATCCTGCAGGCCAGGCTGAGGGAACCCATTGGTGCAAGAATTCATGCACTGGGCCTCTAGTAGTCAATGTTAGTACAGCTCCATTCACAGAGAAGCCTAACCATTAACCAGTGCATGTAGAATATCTACCAATATGCAAATGTATGTTTTAAATATATAAAGCTAGAGGTTGGTGAAAATTCAGTAAAAAGGGCAGGGTTTAAGTATCTAGAGGAGCAAAAAGGGCCAAAGGAAGACTCTCTTTTTATGCCAGGGTTGGATTGAAAAGGCTTGAGAAGATTGCTTGCATTTTCCATGTATATGGGTCAACTCACAGTACTCATCTTTGGTCAGTTTCTTTTCTATAATGTGAAATAATCATAATAATTATCTGGTAGTCTTGTTGTACAGGTTAAATGAGTTAAAATTTATATAGCACTTAGCACCATGCATGATATACCTGGTAAATACTATGTTAGCTTTGATTATTGTGATTTTTCTTGAAAATAGTATTAGAGTTTATGTTTGCAATATGATCTAAATAGTAGCTCTCAACCTTGAGCATGTATCAGAGTTGTCTGAAAGGCTTGTAAAACACAGATCATGCCCTGGCTGGTGTGCTCAATGGCTAGAGCACTGGTTTGATTCCCCAGTCAAGGGCAGTACCTGGGTTGCAGGCTCCTCCCCCGCCCCTGTTTGGAGTGCATGTGGGAGGCAATGTTTCTCTCTCACACTTTCTGTCCCCCTCCTTCCTTCCATTCCACTCTCTCTAAAAAAAAAAAATCAATGGAAAAAATATCCTTGGGTGAGGATTAACAAAAAGCAAACAAACAAAACAGATCACCAGGCTCCACCCCCAGTGCTTCTGATTTAGTAGATCTGGAAAGGGTTCTGAAAGTATGCATTTCTCACAAGTTCCCAGCTGGTGCTGTTAATGCTGGTCCTGGAACCACACTTTAAGAACCACTGGTCCAAAGAGTTGCTTAATGTATCTGATTGAGACACAGACCAACTATACCACATCAGGGTGAAGCAAGTGGAGATCTGAAGTAACTGTTTTTCTGGCATATATACCATATATAATATGTATATATGTATATATCATATAATACATAATATATACATATATTACATACAGAAGTGGGCAAAAGTAAGTTAATAATAATACAAGAATAAATAATACAAGAATAAACTGTTTTGTGTACTCACAACTGTAAACCTACTTTTGCCCAACCCTATATGTATGTGTGGGCGTGTGTGTGTGTGTGATTTGATTGACTAATTGTAAAGGAAGGAAGTGGATTTTACAATGAAAAGAAATTATGTAGCTTTGGGGAAATTGAGTCAATTTATTTAGAGGTGTATCTAATCTAAACTATGTATTGTATAGGAGAGAAAACTGAGACCCAGAGAAGTGAAGTGACTAGCCCAAAGTTGCCCACCTGGAAGAATGTCATGCCTATATCATACCTTAGGATTCTGCCTCCCAACCAAGTGTTCTTTCCAGCACTGTTTATTGGCAGTCTGTTTGAAGGAAAGAAAACACAGCCCCAGGGAGAAATGAAATCCATGTGGCATGTCTGAGAGCGGTGCTGTATGCTCACAAACACTCAGGACTCCGTGGGAAAACAGAAAAGGGCTTCCACATTTTCCTCATTATACGTATGCTATACATCACCGGGGAGAATTTTACATTGTGTGTGTCTAGAGATCAGCCTCAGCAATCAGGTTAAAATGTAGGCCCTGTTTCTCTACAGAGCCTCTACACAGTGTGTCCAGAACAACCCCTTTACGCAGATGGAGGTGCTGATCAGCATGGATATGACTGTTTTTAACTCTTGTTTCATTTTACAATTTGATGACAACGGACACAGAAACTATAATGTTGTATCCTGGACTGACCAAACAGCTACCTCTAGATCTCACTCCGAAATGGAAAGACTTCTGCTTTTCAGTCAGTATCTTATCCCACACTCTTCCAAACCACTACGGGCATGAGAATTCTTCCTGGATTCTGGTCTCCTTTTTTAGAGTTGTCTCAGGTCTGGAGAAGTAGGGGGAACTATAGAGAAACTTAATGGCTCCTGTAGTCAAATGAAGTATACTGTTGGGAAGAACTGGCTTTTTCTAAGTAAGAGTCTCCATTAGTGTTCTGATTGTCTGGAGTCTGTGAAAATGGGCTCTGGATTTGGAAGGGGGTATGTGTAGTGAATAATTCACCTCACCTAAAGAGAAGTCTGGCTTTTCCCTTAGACAGTGGGAGGTGATCTGTAGGCCCATAATGTTTCCTGCTTGAAAGGAATGTCTTTGCTTTGGAGGCTTTGGCCACCCGACAGTCTAACAGTGGGGTTTATGATGGGGCTTTGAACCACACTGGATCAGTTCCAAACGTCAGGAACTGAAGACTAAAAGCATTAGTCTGATCTCTGGGAAGGGCTGGAGAGGAAAGGTCAGTCATGTAGGACAGTGTGAGACTGAGCCCCAATAAAAACTCTAGATACCAAAGTCTCCGGTAAGCTTCCCTAGTTGACAATACTCTGCACATTGGCATACACTGTGGCTGGGAGGAGGTAATGCTGTCCGATTCCATAGAGAGAGGATGACTGGACACTCTGTTGGGACCCCTCTTGGACGCTGCCTTATGCATCTCTTCCCTTGGCTGATTTTTAGTTGTATCTTTACCCTATAATAACGCTGTAATTGTAAACATAGCACCTGTGGATTATTCTAGGAAATTAGCCAATGAGAGGGTGGTCAGGCCTCCCAAATTATAGACAGCTGGTCTGAAGTGAGGGTAGTTCTGGGGACTCGTGAACTTGAGGCTCATGTAGAAGTGAGGGCAGTCTTGTGGAGACTATTCCCACTGACTTTGCAGTTTGGCTAAACTCATTCTAGGTGATGGTGAATAAAAGGGTAATAAGAGGTGCAGTAAGAAGATTTGGGTATGATTCATAATGGAGAAGTCTATGAAACTGTTAAGTTTAGGGGTTTGTATTTTGGAAAGGTGAGTTTACAGAGGTCTTTCCTAGATAGGAGCTAAGAGATAAAAATCCTGGCAGGAAGAAAAATTAGACCCATTGCAGATCTGAATGAGAGTCCTAATAGTGACCTTAGGAAAGTTACTAAAGTTAGTCAAATGGAACTAAATATAAGAGTTAAAAGTGATGATATATGTGGAAAACATTTTAAAACTATAATGTGTAAATGTTCTTTTACCTGTTCAGGAAAATCTGAGGGTATCACAAACTGAGTTATACTTGGAGAAGTTAAGACTTTCTTGATATTTACCCCTTCAGAAATAATTATTCCCCTGAGTTTTTAAACTTGTCACATTTTATATTAAAAACTTTAACTTGATTTGCTGTTATTTTAAATATATTTTTCTATGTGTGCATCCCCAAGCAAGGGACTTTTATTTTATTAAGATATAATTGACATATAACATTATATTAGTTTCAGGTTTACACCATAAAGATTTGATATTTGTATATATTGTAAAATGATCACAATTGGTCACATTCATCAGCAGTTATAATTTTTTTCTTGTGATGAGAACTTTTAAGATTTACTCTCTTAGTAACTTTCAAATATTACAATACAATGTTATTTACTATAGTTACCAGGTTATATTCATTACATCCCCAGGACTTATTAGCAAGGGCCTTTTAGATCCCCCAAATTTGGGTGCTTAAGAAAAGCAGTTCACATATTTCAACTTCTCCCCCAAATTTCTTATTACTCCTGAAATGTGTTTGATTTGTATTGTCCCCAACCCCCTACATCATGGATTCAAATTTCTCAGAACAATACATTTTAAAATGGTGCCTCAGGGTGAGGTGGCTTTCACCGAAGTAAAGGTTCCCGGTGAGGTGCGCGGTCTGGGAGTTTTTACCAGAGACACCCAGAGGTGAACTAGGCTTATAAGCGAGGTCTGGGTTGGCGAGTTTGGGAGCTCTCCGGGGGCAATCTGGGGGCAGCGCTCCCAGTGGGTGGGTGCGAGTGGATCTGCGCCGCCGGGCTCGCTGGGCAGTGTGTTAGCTGGGCCGGGCCGGGCCCGGAGGGGCCCAGTTCCCACCTGGATTAAGATGGTTCCGATGGGGTCCTGGTTTTCAGTCTCCTGAGCCATGGCTAGGGCCGGGGAGGGCTGGAGAGCCCGGAAACATTGGTGGAGGGAGCTCGTTCCCTTGGCAACAGCACGCTCGGCCCGGCCTGTCCCACGCCGGGAGCGGAAGAGGGGGAGAGGGCGGAGTCAGGGCCGCCGGGCCAGTCCGAGAACGCGTCCTCCCAGTCGCGTCCCCCCCACGCACCGGCGGCCGTGGTGCAGCCCAAGGCGGAAGCGGCTGCTGGACACACCGGGCTCCCGAGTGCAGCTATGGCTGCGGGTGTCCCCTGTGCGCTTGTCACCAGCTGCTCCTCCACCTTCACTGGAGACCGGCTGGTCCAACGTGAGTAGCGAGGCTCCTGGGCCGACCTCGAAGCTCTCCAAGTCCCGGCGGGCAGCCAGCTCGCGGCCTCTTCGGCCTTTGCCCCGCCGCGGTCTGGGGCTCCTCCGCTCTGCGCCGGCCCGAGGCCCCCTAGGCTCTGTCCGTGTGCCCGGTCCCCCCGGGTGTCTCTGCCCCCTCGCTCGTCACTCTTAGGCCTGCCCGGCCCGCTATCGCGTGTCTTCCAGCTTCTCCGGCCAAGTGGGACAATCCCTGCCCAGCCCACGGGGTGTGGGGACCCTTTAGAATCTAAAGTTTAGATGAACCCACAGGCACTCTGGAAATTGTGCCGAGTTACGCGAGTGGAAGGGCAGAAATGGTGATTGTTGTTGCTATCCCTGCTCCTACGGTAGAGGTGGTTTCCCCTTGGCTACCCCTTAACCCCCCTCCAACCCTTATTCTGTAGCCACTCACTGCCTTGCTTTCCTCCTGAGGCGCAGGCGGTTCGCCGACCTTAGTTTTGGGGTATTCCTGGGCCTTACACCTTTCCTCTGGACCTTCACAGTGGCTGGCAAGCTAAGTAACTCTGAAAAGGAGACCAGTGTGGTAGAGAGGGCAGAGGACGGGGGCATAGGCCCAACGCTTCCACTAAGGACTCTGGGAAGTTGATTGTAACTCAAGACTCCTGTTTTCAATGAGTGTCAGAGCAGTGTTCTCAGCTGTAAGATAGCAGTTAACCTCTGCCCTTCAGTTTCCCATCTGTAACATGGTGATAATTTTCGCCAGATTTGTTGTGCTTAACCCAGCATAGTAAGCATTGATAAATGGCAGATGTTCTTTCTCCAACCCTCAGTTTCCTGATCTGTAAACCAGGCACATGAACCTATCTCACAGGATTGAGGGACAGGTGATGTGATATGTTGAGCACTTTGTAAACTGTAAAGCATCATACAACTACAGGTTGTTTTTTTTCTGAACCTGTCAAATGACAGAATTAGGCAGCATGTCCCTCTAGCACAAATATTCTATAACATCATTTATGACCACTTAAGAGTTCCTTGAGAAGGTAAAGTTTAAGTATAGCATTTACTAAATGATAACTAACTGCTCTAATTATTCCATTTTCTTACCTCTAAGCAGTGCTCCTTCCTATTTATTTCCTTTCTTTTTAAAAAATAGTTTTATAGAAGTAGTGCATACCTGTTAAGTAAGATTTAGCATATGGAGAAAAATATCACCCATGGTCTCATCACCTAAACACAAATACTGTTCTGTGCATTTCCTTCTAGACTTTTCCACATTGCATAGATTTTTTAAAAAATTGTAATTACATTTCACTTATAATTTTTAACCTGATATTTTCGATATAATTTTAAAATATACTTTTATTTTATATATAAAAATTTAAAATAGTTTATATATGTTTAAATATATAAAATAACATGTATATAAATATATAAAGTTATGGATTTATAATATATACTTGATACATATGATTTATATAATAAATAGATATACTTACATAAAATACATTTTGTATATTTTATAATAACATTTTATATATAATTTTTATTCAGATATTTTACATTTAATATTACATCATAAATTAGTTTTCATTATATATTACATCTAGTGAACATATCAAAATTTGCTTAAGATTCTTGGTGTATTTAACATTCCAAAAGAATTACAGTTGACCCTTGAGCAACATGGGTTTGAACTGTGTGGATCTACTTATATGCAGATTTTTTTCAATAAATACATAAATTCATTTTTTTTCTTAAGAATGTCTTAACTTTATTTTCTTTATTGTAAGAATACAATATATAATACATGTAACATGCAAAATATGTGTTAATTGACTATTTGTTATTGGTCAACAATAAGCTTTTAGTAGTTAAGTTTTGGGGGAGTCAAAAGTTATATGTGTATTTTTGTCGGTGTGATGCGTGGGGGTCAGTGCCCCTTACCCCTCCCCACCCCCCGGTGTTGTTCAAGGTTCAACTATAAGCATTTGAGTTTCCATTACTGATATCTAAAATTCCTTTAAAACCAACCTCAGAAATATTTGTTAAGTATTCTGATGACTACAGTATTCCCTTCATGTGCTTTAAGGATAAGAATTGGGAGATGTGTTCACTTCCTTGAAAGAGCTGATACCTATAGTTGGTGAATAGTATCATGTACCTTAAAGTATAATGGCATCATTGGGGGAAATTATATAAAATAATGCCTCTTTGATAACTCAAAAGCCAACTTTTGTGTTGGTTAAAATTAGATGACGTTTCCTTTGTGATTCCATTAATGTTATGCAGTGAAAAATAAGAGCAGTTAGTGAAGTGATTACTTGAGTAAGGGAAAGTGAACTCTGAAAGGGAGCTTTGTCATTTCTTCTCTTCATGAGTAGGCTAAGAGTGGACAGCATTAGAATGCAGTATTTGCTGAGCACTTATTCTGTTTTCCTGAAATTAAAGATTGAATCAGATTAGTCACAAGTTGAGTCTAATTTTGGCATAAGAGATGGAGACTACCATAATGAATGACTTTTGTCAAGTATCCAGTGACATTAAGCTATAGTATGATTTTGGGTTGAATCTGATCTACCTTTTTGGGAAGGTTTGGTTTTATCCCATGCATCAGGAAGAGGAACCTTTAGAGTTTCTCTTTCCTTTGACAGCTGATCTATTTTACTGCTGTTAACCAACAATGGGAAATATTTCATAACCAAATAAGCAAGTTTGGTATAAATCTTAGATGAAATAAAAATCCATAGCCCTCTATTATGGATAAAGTGCATATGTGGTGAAAGTGCATTTGTGAGAAATTTTTTTTTTTCATTTTGTCACTCAAAGGCCTGTTTTACAGCATTCCGGTGGATGTCTGACATCAGATACAAGGTGGCATTACAGATTACAGTGTAGACTTTTCAAGGGAAATGAAGGCTCAGGATGCTTGAGGGACTTGTGCAAGCTATATGAGGTGTGAGAGCAGGTGTCTGTACTCCAAGGCCACACATCTTTCCATCTCACACATATGAACATTTACTTGTATCCTAGAAAACTGTATTCTAACATTAATCGCAGAGCTAGTCTCTGTGCCAGTTACTTAGCTAAAATGACGACTAAGGTACTACTCCTGTCCTCAAGAGGGATGTAGTGAAAGTGTGTGCTCCACCTGTGAAAATATTAAAATATATACCTAAGTTTTAACATCTTACTCTACTTTCCTAGAAGGAACTGTAGATAGAAAAGTCCCTGGAGACTTGTTTGGTTTAAAGTATGTAATGCCAATTCAACAACCATAAGCCTCAGATTCTACATTTGAACATTTGGAGCAAAATTATTTTCTCAGTGAAGTGTGGGAATTTTGAGATCGTATAAACATATCAAGCATTTATGTGTATGTCAGTACTCTTCCCAAACACATTTTCACATTGTTTAATTTGTCTCTAGTATCCCTGTGAAGTCATGCAGTCAGGCTCTCTCCATTTTATAAATGAAGAAACCAAGGTTTGGAAATACTAGGTGACTCGCCAAAGTGCTCAAGTAACCAGTGCTGCAGCATAAGTTCACATTTATGGTTTGTGTGCATGGAATGTGTGAATGAAATGAGTTGGAATTTCTTAGCAATCAGCACTATTTAAATTTAAGGTGGTGGCATTGGTGTAAGAAATGACAGAGAAGATTAACCCTAAAAGAAGGTATTAAAATAATTACACAGGCAAAGCCAGCCATCATTTATGACATTGCTTCTTTGGGAAACCTTCATTCTTCTGCAAGACTGGGAGTTTGTTTCAAGGTCTATCAGATTCCTGTCTTACAAAAGGATCTTAAAGTAATTTAGTAAGGAGGACATTCTGATTTCAAAGATAAGGGGCTATTGTGTAGCTTAGCCAGCATTTTCTAGCAAGAGAATAGGAATAAGAGTTTGGGTCTTCTAATTTGTATTTTTCTGTAGCTGTTTAAGGTATTCTGATTGGAACCTTTTGGTTTATTCTGGGAATAACTAATTGCTGCTTAGGCAAAGTTGCTTACTTTGTTGTAGGGAGGACACTGCCTTTGATTATATTGTATTTCCAACTCTTTATTTTCTCCAAAGGAAGAAAGATTGGGCCAGCAAGATCTACCACAAGGACCTAGAGTTGTCATCACAGTGATTATGTAGATGATCAGATTAAAGCAGTGATTTAAACTGGTAATGCGGGTGGGTGAACTTTGATTTGTTTTTAACCATGACATATTTTAAATTTTTCAATTAACATTAAAAGAAGGCTTAAGATTTTTATCTTTATTAAAGGAAGAATGTTAGGTCACCAACCTAAGGAAGAGGGAAAGATTAAGAACAAGTTCCTTATCTCCACCCAACAGGACTTAGAAAACATGTTTGTATTATCCTCCAGTGTGTGTGTGTGTGTGTGTGTGTGTGTGTGTGTGTGCGCGCGCGCGCGCAAGCACGTGTTTGTGTGTGTATGAAATTAAAGCTCCAAGAAGTTGTGATTTTATAAAGTTTTCAGTTCATAAAAGTTGGGAAGCCAAGATTCAATTCCAATTATTTTATATATGCAAAATATGATGACCTTCTTGCCAACTAGAACTGCATATATTCAAGGTGGAGATAGGGATAGGAGAAATTACTGTAGAAAATTTTACTACTAGAATGAGAATTTTTATTGCTCATAATAAGTTTTTACTTTTTCTTTTATGGTAGTTGGAACCTTAGTAGATGAACTATGATAAATTTAATAATTAATGAAAATGCCTCTATTGGTACGCAAT